CAGAGAGAGAGAGAGAGAGAGAGAGAGAGAGAGAGAGAGAGAAGGATAGGAATTGCGATTGCGATAATGAGACAGAAAATTTGCGATGCTCAAGGATAGACAACAAGGCTAAAACAGCACCTGGACATGGATGGCTGGTGCCTGTATAAAAAAAATTTGTCAAGTGTGGGTGGTGGGGGACTGTTGTGGGAGGGGGAGGGCAGAAAGTGGAGTTGGCTGGGGTCGGGGGCTGCTGAGATTGGGAGAAGAGGAGGGGAGGAAGATTATGTCGGAGGGCTTGGATTGGAAAGGGAGGAGCTAAAAAATATTTGGAACGAGGTGAAAAATATTAGTGATGAGCAATAAAATACTGTGGTTAGGCTAGAAAATAGTGGGGATGAGCTAGAAATGTTTAAGTTTGAGCTATAAAATACTGGGAATGAGCTATAAAATACTGGGGATGAGCTATAAAAAAAGTAGGGATGATATAGAAAATATGAATTGGTTGTGCTAGAAAATATTGGGGATGAGCTAGAAAATATTAGGGATGAGCTAGAAAATGTTGGAGATGAGCTAGAAAGCACTCGGGAATATTTGGGATAAGCCAGAAAATATTCGAGATGGGCTAGAAAATACTGGTAAATTTTTGGGATCAGCTCGAAATACTGGGAATGGCGCAAGACAATCCTGAGGACGAGCTAGAAAATGTTAGAGACTAGCTAGAAAATATTAGGGATGAGCTAGAAAATATTGTGGATGAGATAAAAAAAATTGGGGGTGAGATAGAAAAGTCTGGGGAATAGTGGGGATGAGCTAGAAAATATTATTTGGTAGTGGGGCACTTTGGTTGCACTTCACCGGTCCATAAAAGAACGAAACTCTTTCCTAAAAAACTCTCCAGGGACTAACTAAAAGCAAAATTAGATTTTTTTTAAAGAACTGATTTAGTTTTTAAAAATTATTTTAGTATTTCATCTTTTCTAGAGACGTATTTATTCTAGATTTAACTCACGACGGGAAATAACATGACTCTCAAGAAACGAACTGGGAAAATGCGAGAGGTTTTTTCTACAATTTAAACTCTTTTTGATAAAAGTCTAATAACAGCATTTTTTTTTTCAAGGGAGGCTACTACGAATTCTTTAGAAAAAAACGAAACCAGATCTAGATCTAGATGCATGGCGACAATGGTGTCAACAATGCAACCAAAATGTCTAAGAGTTCTGGAGCTGTACAGTGGGATTGGGGGCATGCACTATGCGTTAAAAGGTAAAAGAGTGCAATGCTTTGACGTCCATAACTCGTCACGTCTAGATCTAATAACCTCGAGCCTGATTATTTGCTTTGACTTTTGTTATTGGCTGTAGATCTAGATTTTTTATCTAGATTATATTATAATTAGAATAGTGCAGGCGAGTCTTGTGGCTATTCTCACCCGGTGCGCGTTCACCAAATTTTGCGTTCACCCTAAACCACAGAATTCTACACTGTGAGAAAAAATTGTAGAATTCTGTGCCATGAACAAACGTTCCATTACAACTGTAGCCTACTAAAAGCGTACAATTTTGTCTGTGGGCAGTG